CCGTAGACGTGGCTCTTCACCTTGAACACCATGTCCGTCACCACCCGCTGCCGTGACGACAGGTAGCTGCCTCCTTGTCCTGGCGTCAGGTAGCCGCGGGGCTGCCGGTGGTGGAGGACGTGCTCGGGCTCCAGGAACAGCTGCTCACCTGCAGGGAGACGATTCCAGGTGTTTGTGGGACAACAAAGTGACAAAGCCACTGTGGAGCCTTAAGTCACGTGGTCATCATTGGTGGCAACTTTTCACCAAGTAATGATTCATTTCTATATTAGTGTCAAGAAATATGAAAAATGCCAATCATATTTTCTAAAAGATATCCAAACAGATCCACGTCATCAAGGTTTTATTTTAACCAGTGTGAGAACAAAACACTAACACTTCACTTATTAAGCAAATGAAAAGTTCAGATGCTCATTTGCAGAGTTGTGAACAATACTAATGAGCCCAGCATTGTCCCTCGTCACCTTTCTGGGTCATTTCTGCCAGGTTAGGCTGAGCGAAGACTTTGGCCACCCTGAAGACCATCAGCGCATTTTTGGCATTCACCAGATCGGTCCTGACCGCTCGGTTCAAAAACACCTGGAAGAGCTTCGTGTACATGAGCAGGTTCTCATGAACAAAGGACTCCCTGCAGGAGAGAAAGTTATCATCAGAAGCTCATCTGTCAGTCTGAACCCCAAAACAGCAACAATCCCCAGACTTTCACCTTTCTGAGGGTCCGAGTCAGAGCTATGACTCAGTCAGCAAAAAGAACGACAAGCCCAAAATATCAGGTTTCATTAAAAATCTATTAAATATGTCTCCTAATTAGACACGACACAGACCTTCAAAGTACAACAGGAAGTATACACTGACGACACAAACTCCAGAACATAAAATAATAACAAACACAAAATGCTGGCTCAACGACACAAAGGGAGGAAAAACAAGATGAAGATTTTATGGACGAGCACTTCAGAGTCCACTCTGCTCACCATTTTTCAGGCACGGTTCTGTTTTGGTCGGGCTGAGGGTTTGGCTTCTCCCCGGTGTATCTCCAGGGCTGGATGTAGCTCAGCCACGTCTCCAACACCTGAACACGGACAAAATACGCTCGTAGCAGCAAACTGCGTGTTCATGGAGCAAAACAAGCGATGATCACGTCAGGATGTGAGAGACCTACCGCTCTGAAAGACGCGTCCAGAGGCCAGTGACCGAAGCAGTGCTGCAGGAACAGGTACAGCTTCTGCTGCACAAAGCGCTGCACCACCACCCTGTGGGGGAAACACAAAGTTAACTAAAACCTTCATTTAATGATCCACTTCCTGCTTTTGTTCTTTTATTTAAAGTCAGGGCTGTAGAGAAGCTACCACTGCATGCTGACACATGATGCATATCTAAAAGCATCAACCATTAAATCTGCTTTACTTGCATAATATTTTATTTTAGTAATAAATGTTCTACTTCCACAAAGTCTGACAGCAGCGTGTGTGACTGACCTCTTAAACTCTTCCAGTGGGCTGGTGTGGGTGTGCGAGTGGGCGGAGGGCGAGGACGACAGCTGCTCAGGCTTCAGGCTGTTGGAGAAGGCGTGTACGTGTTTCACCAGGAGACGCACCACCAGCACGTGCTCCTCCGTCGGGCTAAAGGGCTCCTGCAGAGGGAAGCGGTCACACACAGTGCTTGGACATGACGCCAAATATGCCCAATCGCAGCCAGGATTGATGGAAAAAGCAGCCATCGCAATGTGTCCCAATCCACAAGCAGCCAAACAATTACCAGAGAGAACAGAGGTCCCACACTCAGGAGCCGCAGGGCTTTCACACGGTGTGGACTGACTCTGGAGCACCATGAAGGAATTTATACCGTACTGAATTTAATCTGAGTGTGATCGCTAACATCACAAACTCCGGATGAAAAGCTTCCGCTGACACTGAACTTAAAAAACACACTTTGCAATTTGCATATTTTCCTTGTAAATGTTTCGCCTGAACACTTAATTTATTTACCGTTTCCCTTCAGTGACCCTAACGTTCCTGTTTTATTAAAAAATTATTTATATATTAAAACTGTGAGAAACTAAGAGGTGGGACCTCAGTGCTCGAAGCTGCTTCATCAACCAGCTGCACGTTTCCTCGTCTGGACATCATCAGGAAACACAAACAAGCAAAGCGAGGAAAGTACTGATATTTACATGTTTCTGATTGGCATGGAAAAAATGATCAATGTCACATTTGATAAGAAATCATTTCTTAAAATCAGAAGTTCTGATTTGATTGTAGTAGTATCTTTGCTTTCAAAAGATTAATGCTGCCAACAGAGAGAAACACTACAAAAACAACAAAGCACAGCAGACAGTGTAAAAAGCATGCCTGTAAAAAAAAAGAAAAGCAAGAACCACACCCAAACCAGATTCATTTTCAAAGCTTCATTCCTGGATTACTTTCTCTTTCAAGGATACTTCTCTGTAAAATTCATAATTTACAGTCAGACTCAAAGGAAACAGGCCAATCATCCTCTGGTTTACCGACAGCAGCCAAAGAGTTAAACGCTGTTACCGTATAATGTGGACAATCTCTGTCTTTTAATAATCAGCTGAAAGTCAATAAGCATGGCTAAGTTCTAAAGTAGAAATAATCCCTGAAACTACTATGATTAAAATATCTTAAATGAACAGAGAGCTGCGCTTTTTATTAAACAAGCTTGCAGAATGAAGCTAAACAGCCGCTGCTATCATCTGCCATCTACAGGCCGGTGACTGGAATGACATCGTCTGGTTGTTGTTACCAGAGAAGTAACCTTGACTGTGAGCTTGAGTGGCTGAGGTTTACCTCCAGGAGGCCCCAGAGGGGCGGGGGTGAATGAAAAGGTAAAAGTACTTGGTAGGTGTGGAGGGTCCCAGAGCCTGGTGGGGCGTGGGGTTGGCACGGCATGCTGGACATACTGAGGCGGTACTGCAGCAGCGCCAGCTGTTCACCCGTAACCACCAGGAAGGGGGGGGTAGAGGAAGATGAGGAAGAGGAAAGACAACGACGAAAGGTGGAGGAGCAACAGTGAAGAGAGGGGGAGAGGGGGAAAAAGTGAGGAAGAGGAGGCAGGGAACGAAAAAGGTGGCAGGAGGAAGTTACACGTGAGAACAGGAGCAAAGGAGGCAGCAAAAACAGGAGCGAGAGCGCAACCAGACAAACAATTGGCCGGAAATATTCAGGAGAAAAAGAGCAGGAGACAGGAGAGGAGACACAAAGACAACAAAGTGACTTTGGGAACAAAATGAACGGCTGGGGGCGACGCAGACGCCGTTCCTACACCAGACGTGAGTTACGTGACTGTAGGGACGGGAATCATTTCACTCCAAAATATTAGGCTTTGTTCATTAATACTGAAAATGTATCTGAAACCCCCAAATCAACCAGGAGAGAGTGAAAAAACGAGCGGGAAAAATCCCAGTTTGTGTTTTTACCCCGTCACTGTAGATCCAAACGGAAATCATTCCCATTCCTACTGTTCAACACAAACAGAGGGAACTCAACACTGTAAGATTTTGGGGTTTGTGTGTAAGATTAAAGTAATTATTAGCATCAAACTGGACTGGATCGGACTGAACTGTGAATTATGCAAAGCTGAAAACTGGTGCTGGAAATGAGCACAGCACGCCTCCAAAATCTTGCAGGTTAACTCCACTCTTATACATAACAGACACAGTGACCTCACACAGCGTTTAACAAGTTCAGGAGACAACAATTAAAATCGCGTTTACTCTTCGGGACGGTCAGAATGTCACACACAGGGAGTCCACCGTTTCCTCTGCAGTCTCACGGTAAATGGCCTGTATTTGTATATCGCTTTACTCGTCCTTAAGGACCCCAAAGCGCTTTACACAACCTGTCATCCACATTCACACACTGGTGATGGCAGCTACATTGTAGCCACAGCTCTTATCTTAGCTAACGTGCATCACTTTTGACTTTCAGGTAACTGCAGACAAAAGCACAGCTGCAAAGAAACTGCAGTTGGGTGGATATTCAAGTAGGTAACATGCTGACCGTGTAATAAACAATAATACAGATGAGGGGGTCTAAGCACATGCTGTATATCTACAGTGTCATGCCCACTGTATACAGTGCAGGTGAAATAAACACCAACATGAGCGTCTGTCGCACTGAGACACACATTTATGCACACATTGATCCACTCCACCGTGACTTTATGCTGTGTTCCACATACACATGGAGAACATACCAGCAACACGCTTGCTGACACGGACATGCAGCATGCAAAGGATGTGGTAGGAAGCAAAAGCACTACTACCAGGAACATGCCCCAATCGCTTTATGCAGGAGCTCTAAGCTCAGACCGAAGAGGCTGTTTACAGCAAGTATTCAACTACAAACTGATGCCTGAAGCAGAGCAGCTGCTTGAGGAGCGAATACGCAGAGACGAGGCTGAAGATGCTTAACTAATAATAATAAAAACAACAACAACAGGATTTATGTATTTTACAAATCACAGGACCTCTTGGGTGTGAGGGAGGGGTTGTGGTCAGCCAATCAGCCGTGCGAAGTGGACAGGTGTGTGTGTGTGTGGGAGGAAATGTACATATCTTACCTTTACCTGAGGAGACTGCAGCTTCTGATACATTTCCAAGGAGTAGTGATGGAGCCAGATCTCCACAAACATCTGAGGAAGATCAAAACACATATTTTGAGGATTAATGATTAGTCATTTCTGTTTTTAAACACGCCCACCAAAACTGAAAACTGTGTATTAAGTCTCTTCACTGCCGTTCAAATGTTTTGTTTGTAACAGTAAGTGTAGTACGAGTCATAATTAAAGACTGAAATCTAGCCAAATTCCACTGAAGATCATCTTCTTGCACCTCAGTGAGGCAGTGGTCCTGTTCTGACCACTCACACCACCGTCTCTGATTTCACCACGACTCAAACTTAAGCAGGCAGAGTGACGCCGTTGGCCACAACCGCCACGTCCACAGTCCAAACAAAGACTGACCCAGAGCTGTGTCTGCATCCTACCTGTAACAGGGTTTCAGACCTCCAGATTTCCTGGGCTGCGGGGTCAGCGTTCACTGAGGGCTGATGGAATATGTGATGCTTCAGGAGACTGGGGCTATGGATGCCGTAACTGGCAAAAGAAACACTGGACGATCTGTTGAAGGCACAGGAAGAGTCTGAAATCAAAGCTTTTCAGGAAATGCAGGATTTTTGTGTTACACGGTATTAAACATTCAAATGTTTCTGCCATTAAAGATTCGTCTTGTCACTAGTACCTCGGTGAAGGAGCAGAAACAGAGCCTCTGGAGTCGGAGAAGGGGGAAGGAGGAACGCTTCCTTCAGTGGGGAGGAAGTACTTCAGGTAAGTGTCCACCAGCACAAAGTAGGCGCTGTCTGTGGAGCTCCCGTACTGGCCTGGAGGGTAGTTCTGAAATCATAACAAAGCGCTTATTAGTTTTTGATCAGGTGGTTCAATAAAAAAAATATAAAAGTGAATAATGTGTTAGTGGCAACCTCACCTTTGGTGAGATGAGACAGTAGGCAAAATTGAACATGAAGAATTCAAATGGGTCTGAAGAAGGTTAAGGAACAACCCGACTGATCTCATAAGAGCATAATTCATTCCTTCTTTAATTAAGAAATCATAAGAAATCAGAAATGAAAACATTTATGGTTCAGACGTTTGGAAACAACGATTTTTTTCCGTTAGACTACAGAGACCAGATACATACAAGTGATTGTTTCATCAATCCTTCAAGAGCTCCATAAAGAAAACTCAGACTTTGCTGTTTGCATTGCAAAGGATACTGAAAGCGATGTTCAGCGTCAGGAGACCAGAGAGAGGGAACTGCAGCTTGTTGTGGAACAGCGGGCAGTCTGGGAGAACGCCCTCCTGGATGCAGGCTTTCACAGGACCCTAGAAAAATTAAAACAGTCTCAAACTCTCCCAAAAGACATTTTGCAGTATCCATACAGGACCAGTGATGTGGTTACAGCAGCTCTGTGTGCCTGAACAGTCACTCCAACATAAAATGATAATATTTAACTTCAAACGTCTGACTGCAACAGGCAGAGGTGACGAGGCAAATATTCTTACTGGGAGATAATTGATTGGTATTTCATATTTGTACTCTTCCGCCTGAAGTTTATACACAAGTTTCATCATTGGACCACTGAAAAAAAGAGAGAAATAAAAAATATTTTAATATTTTAAAAATACGAGTGCATGACATTCTAGAAAACAAAAAGATTACAAATGGAAGCGCTATACGACATCTAAAAATATACTAGACGTGCTCTTCAGTGGGGCAAAAACAAGTCATAAAAGCAGAGAACTTCAACACGTCTGACCTCGTAGGTCGAGTTTCTCCTTCTGCCAAATTTACTAAATATTTTGAATCTTATTAACAGATTAAAAACCTCAGCAGGTTTCCATGATATTCCACTCAGCTGATATGAAGCTACCTGGGATTTAGGAAGTCCATAACAATGTTGTACTCGTTGCTCCGGGAATGAAGCAATCGCAGGTTCCAGCCAGCGATGACACCATCCAGGCTGCCAAACACACTCTCCACCAGCCAAGGAAAGATCAGGTGCAGCTCCTACAGGGAGGAAACACACACACACAATAATAAGAAACACACTTTAACGTTTGTCTGCCTGACAAATAATCATATTCAGGCCTCCATCTCACTGTGACACTGCAAGTCCTGACTACAGTGGAGCCAACAGAGAGCAACAAAACTGCACTCATCCTTTGTGTCCCTCAGCTGCTTGCAAACAGAACCCCAGCTATCCACAGAGACCCCCACATGCCTCAGGAAACAATGGTCTCCACTGATCTGGGGCACAAATGTCTGAAGCTCGCAAACACTGAACAACCCTGGGCTGTGACTGATGACAGAAATAGATTTGTGGCCTGAAAAGTGAGGCCAAAGCACAAGTGCCTCAAACTTGCATTCAGGGTAACCAGATGATAATGTGATGTTCTTTTACTACCAGCCAAAATGCAGCATAAAATGTTGGACTGCCCAGAATGACACAAAAGAACAGATGTACAACAAAATGTTTGTGCCTCCAAGAAAGAAGAAAAGAAAAAAACAAAACAAAGAGTCAACGGGACGTTTAGTTGTATGATGAATGCTCTGCCTGATATCACGACACCAGAGAGGAAGTAGCATGCAAACAAACAGCCGTCTGTCCCGGTTCACTGTGCAGGCTACATGCATCCAATGTCGTGTCCTACCAAAACTTATTAGATTCATGACAGACGGGGCCTTGCAGTCACACTGTGGCATCTGAAAGCAGGCTGCATTCCAACAATTCAGTTATCTTGGATTTATGTGCACATCTTTCAGAGTTCAGTTCAAAGTTCAAATTTCTTCTGGGAGGAATCCATGACACTCAAAATGAAACTACGCAATCGGTGAATGTGAAACCTTAAACTGATCTCTGCCTGAATTCCCTTACTGTATCTCCCGGTCTGAAAATATCTTTGCAGCTATTTCTCATGTGGGAGTTCATGCAAACCTTCCAGCAGATATTCTACCGACGGTTTTCACAGCAAATAAAATGAATCCAGGGATACATACCTTTGCAGGATACTCATCTATGATCTTCACCAGATCCTGGCATCGCTGCAGGAGAGGTTTGGTGGTAGCATCGGCTTTCAGGTTGGCCTGAAACAACATCACATGTCACAACATATTCATGACCAGACAGGAGTTATTACCTTTAAATGACTTCATAACTAAGTCAGGTCAGAGATGCAGGACTCAGAGACTCACCAGCAGGAAACTGGGCTGCTGTAACGTTGGATTAGCCATTAAGGACTCCGATGTTTCTTTCTACAACTGTACAGTCCACCTGGATCCTGCTGCAGTGGCAATAACACAAACTTTAATCAAAAGTCTAACTTTAACAGTTTTAACACGTTTAACGGGGAAACTTTTGTTGGCTTATCACTAACAGAAGTGGATGCTAACCGTGCTGTTAAAGAGACTGCAGTGTCTGCCACTGACGGAATCCTCAGCAGGAGGACAATCCATCAAAAGCAGCACTCAAGTTAGCACGAGCGGGCTAGCAAAGGCTGCTAATAGAGCTAGCACAGACAGCTAATAGTAGCTTAAACTAAGAGTAATGGTCGTTAAATCGGCCTTTAATTAAATACAACACACGTCACAATCACACAACACATTCTCCGCTTTCAAATCAGCACCGTCTCACCTTTTCTCGCGATTATTTTTCAAAACTACAGCCAATTCCCCAGAAACCGCGTTCCCATCAGTGCAGTTCAAATACGACTACACTGGTTCTCCTCTTCTTCGTTGGTGTTTTACTTCACTCCAGATGGTTGATGATCGTGTTGTTGTACATTACTGCCACCTGCTGGAATTATTGATGCACTGCAATGTCAATTTCTCCCTCAGAGGCCGAACGTTTCCATCCCTTCTGCGCACGTCTGAGGTAAATCCGGCCAACAACAATCTATTTTATTCTTCTTTTAATAAAACAAACAAACAAACAAACAACAATCCTCGAATATTGTTTATGTACTCTGAAAAAATTATTTTCTTCTATGTCTGACTTTTTTTTAACTTAAATTCTACAGAACGTTTTTATTTACATGTTTTCACTTTTTCACTTTATTTATGTCTCAGCACAGTCTCAATTGACATTCCAGGACAGGGTCCACTGCAGGAGAGCTGAACGGTGCCAGTAGGGCTACAAAACGACCTCCAGCAGGGCACGCATGTGCATCGTTCTGCTCCAACTATCAGAATGAGACTCCAAGAAGAGGACACGAGGGCGCGATGTGTGGAGACCTGTGCTTAGAGCCCAGGACCGTGCAGCTCAACCAGAATTCAGCCAAAAACTCCAGAACAAAAAAGAAAATGCACAAATGTTTTTCTTTGTTTTATTTTCACTGAGTTATCATTTGTGGCTTATTCACATACAGTAAAGACGATGACATTACACGGTCTGGAAGCTTATTAGAGCTGTGAAGTAAAAAAGTTTGAAATTTGCTTATGAGGAAAACACAGGTTTATATAAACTTACAAAATGCAGTAAATTCTACAGGATACAGAAAGGAAACTAGAAAAATAGAGTTCTTTAATATACATGGACGTAAAGAGCTATACATAATGTTTCAAGCAAGGTCCATTTCATGTGTGCGTTTCCATCGAGGCCTTTAATCCGTCAGGTATGTGTGAAGCTTACGTCTCAGAACAAACATAGATGCCTGCTGAAAACGCTCGATAGTTTCTAATAAACAGGGTTACATGTGAAGCAGTAAACTGGGCAAACACTGGAGTCTGCTGTCAGCAAGTTAGGTCATATAAATACGCTGCGTCTGTCTGCAGTGTGTCTGAGATCCCCCTCCAACTGTCAGTCAAACCTGAGTTTGGATGCAAACTGCACGCCAGCCACTGAGCTGTGTTAAAGGTCTGAATATTTAAACACGTAGAAGAGACATTAAAATACTAAAAAGGGTCAATCTGAGGTGTGTAAAACATGCATGGCAGAAATTTTGGCTTTTATAGATCCTCACTTGCAAAAGGAAACACATTAAGAAACAGTTTTAGGGACCTTTTAACTTGCTTCATTTTTTGCACTGAAAGCCCACTAAATGCTGTCATCAGGGCAAAAACCACATAAAAATGAAAAAGCATGTCTGAAATAAATCCGAGTTCCCCTCTAAGCTCGCCTTCTCATGCAGCTCCAGACTGATTACAGAACTGCTGCTATTTTTCAATCAATCGGTCAAAGTCCTGTGCAACAAATCGAAGCGACCGTTTCACTTAAATGTCATTTTCAGAAAACTGGGCAAAGTCACAGAGAGAAAAAGCCCTGGTGAGTAAAGTGAACGATGACTAAGGCCAAGCTCCAGCGTGCAGCACAGAGGCTCAAACAGACTTCCAGGGGCTGACCTGAGAACAGCAGCAGTGCCATCAGTCCAGAGCTGCACACAAAGATGACCCTGAAGGGGAGATCATCCAAATTTAAATCAGACTTTGCTTTTTTTGTTTATAGGTGAATAACTGGAACTTTAATTGCAGCTCATATCTATCAGCACATCTGTCACAGAATGCTGCAAACTAACTTACACTTACTTGGACTACTTTTCTACCAAATGATTTATCTGCCTGTAAACTATCAGCGACAGCTCATAAAAGCATGAAATGAGCTACAAAAACAAGACTTCAGAGACAGATACAGGTTTCTATCTTTCTACATACATCCTTATATTTCCATTTCCAAGTCTTTCTAAATACTAAAGAGTTCAGGACGAAGACAAACGAATCTCTTTTTCTGGAATATTCGTTTTTAATGGTAAATTATCATTGGCGTCACTTTGTTGGCTTTATTTGCTCAGGAAGCAAACTTTCTTGACTTGACCCCAGCGTGTCCTCTGCATGTACAGGATCTGTTGTCCTCGGCAGTCTCTGATCCTCCTAGAGAGGAACCTCGGGAGGGTTGTTCCTCCTCACGCGAGCCTTCCTGCTCTCCTGTTTCATCTTCAGCGCTCGCAGCTTCTGCTGCCGGCGCTTCTCGCGGTACCAAAGTTGCTCGCAGTACTCGTCCACGGTCAGACTGTTGCTTCCCACCTTGTGCAGGTCTTTGTAGCTCCTCAGAGGGAGCTGCTGAGGCAGCCACGAGTTCCCATGTCCTGGCAGAGAAGGCGGTGCGTGAGGGGAGCCCGGCTGGCTCAGAAACCCAGCAATCCCTCCTCCTCCGGCCGGCCCAGTTTTCCCCAGAATCACTGGGCCCGGGAGGTTGGGGTTGTGGCTCTGCATGTAGCGAGCTGGGTTGAGGCTGTGCTTGGGGATAATGCGAACGCGGTATCGAGCCAGGACCTGGGCGTAGGAGTGCTCGTGGCTGGTGCAGGTGTAAAGGCCCGAGTCGGCCTGTTCCAGGTGCTGAATGAGCAAGCCTCGCTTCATGTGGAAGGAGCGGTCGTCGTCGCTCTGAGGCAGCTGAGGAAAGAACGGCAAAAGTTCAGTCTGAGCTGTTCTTTGTATTCAAGGAGGTGCAGCAGAATATTGTGTGCACTCGTGTGCAGCAGTGCATTTTGGAACAATGGTAGTTAATGACAGTGGGACAGTTCGGATTTTAGCTGTTTCTACAGCCCACTGGTGGGTTTATATGCAACACGGCCTCGCTTTCTAAACATCTTTTAGACGTCCAATCTTGGTCGGGCAGAAACAAAGTCTTTCTGAGATACACTGTTTCTGTTTGCTCAGATTTAGCCAGAAAATAATGTCTGTTAATGTCTTGTCCTTTGGAGGTTCGGGACTAAAAATATATACAAATAAAACCAGAGGAAGGAGAACGTTTAGAGGGGAAATCCAGAGACTAAAGTCATGAAAGTGTTTTTGGTGAATGAGCCACAGCAGAGAGAGGAAGACTCTACTGTCAACATCTGTAAAAACCTGAATGCTTTTAATTTGAAAACTGAGAGCAGTAAACTCACCTCTTTGCTTTCATGCGTCTGACCGACAGTCTGCTGCTGGCCGTCTGAGACCTGCAGCGTCCACCTGAGCTCCGCCTGGGACGAGCGAGGAACACACTCCAGGAAGGTGGAGTTTCCCTCAACACCGTACACCACCTTCACCTCCACAGAGTCTGAATCTGACAAAGACACAGGAAAACCCTTAGGACATTGCTCTTTTGCTTTCATAGCTCTGCACACGGTGTGATGCTCCCAGGGAAATGATGGAAATGATTCTTTTCCTTTTGTAGTTATGTTCGTTTGAATGTGAGACAGCACAGGTGATAAAAGGTTATACAGGAAAAAGCACTTTTTTTTGCATAGAACTGTAAAATGAAAGATTTCCTTAACTGTAAAAAAAAATGAGTTTTCTGTTATTTTTGACCACAAAACAGAGAAAGCCGCAGTTATGCGATACATCCACTAGAGGGCGCCATATGCTCGTGTTCAGAACACCATGGTAACAGGCATTTTACCTTAATTTCACTTATTTTGTAAAAATACAAGGCGACCATTTTTAAAAAGTGCTGTCAGCTCCTGATAGTTAATACCAGTAATTAAATGTTCCTTCTCAGGTGATTCAGTGATTCAGTGGATTTTCTGTTCACAAAAAAGAAACAGCAAAGGTTTCAGGAAAAGACAAACTTCTGTTTTTCTCTAACACAAGCTAAACAGTTATTTAGGATCATGTACAGAATTCATCTCAGTCTGATGGTTTCGGACTCTAAAGGATAAATATCAGACACACACAAGTGTAAGAATTGTCTTTATCTACTTTTATCGGCTAACTTTAAGAAACTTGTCACACAGAGTGAATCGATGGGTCAGTCCTGATAGACGCGACTAAATCTGTCAGGAAAAACGTTTGGAGAGTAAAATCGATTTGTTTGCAGTTTTTAACAGAACTTTAATGTCTTTCCTGAAACGTTCACGTAGGTATCTGTCTGATACATGTTTGGAAAGAAATGACATGAATCACAAAATCCTGCACGTTAAGTATGACAAAGTTACTGTACGAAATAAATCAGCTTTGATTTAACAGGTGTGGGGGGCGGGGGGGGGGGCTCACATTTAATATATGGAACGATCAATAACAAACATCAATAATGAAGCAGAAATGAAAGAATACAATAACTCCCACATGACTGGTGTCATATTAGACTCACTGATCACACAGAGTATCTGAGCATCAGGTCATGTGATCGATTATGGGCCCACACAGCAGGTTTACGTTCCTGCCCCACAGTGACACTAACACTCTGCCACTGGTCACAGTGCAGCACATGTACACATGTAAGTGTGGACATGTCTGCTGTGTAACAGCTGCCAGGAGAATAATATTTGAAACAGTTTATTCACATCAGCAGAGGAAATGCTCACCGTCCTCTGTGTCTGGACACTGACTCCAGGGGTCTCCATACTTCACATCCTGTCTGCGCGCCCGCCTGACACACACACACACACACACACACACACACACACACACACACACACACACACACACACA